GGGGGGGGGGGGGTCGGGGGGGGGGGCTGGTGGCAGGCGGCAAGCCAGGGGTCCTTGGGCCAGTGCGCACCAGAGTGCAGGAACCCAGGGTGGGGGAGGGTGAGCGGTTTCGGACAGGCGGGGGTTGAGAGGGTTGTAAGGAGGAGGGAACCCAAGGGAGAGGTAAGGAAGAGCCCCCATGTGGAAGGGAGATCCCCAGGACAGACCTGCACCCCCTGTCTCCAGCTCACCCTTCTTCAGGAAGCTTTGCAGGCTGTGCTCTGGAATTTCCTTCATTCCTGAGCTGCCCTAAGGTGGCTTTGGCAGCGCTGGACTTCATGGTGTGTGAAAAGCTCCACAGTCTGGGTTCAGAGCCACAGTCCAGGAAAGCAGCTCAGCCCACACCACTGCCATGGAAAAGCCATGGAGGAGCCAGAACCCCGGGGGCTGTGGGCTGAGGACCAAGGTTCAGAATGCCCGCTTGCATCTCCATGGGAGCCTGGTCCCCACAGTGTACCCCACATGCAGAAGGGAAGGAGGAGGAGGGATAGAAGAGCAAGCTGCCCTCCCTGGACCAGGCCTGGCCACCTACAGAGGACTCTAAAGGTGGTTTTGTGTAGCTCATGAGCAGCACCCTCTTTCCTCTCCCCAAGGAAAGGATAGGACTCACCGCTGCCACCTCCAAACTGCTCCAGGACTCATGTGGGGACCACAGCAGGGTCTCCCATGCAGGGCAGGGATGGGGAGAGCTCGCTGCAGGTATTCGCTGAAGCTGAGTTCACACTTCCTAATGGAGAAAGGACAAGTGATTACCCCCGACCTGAGGGTCCTGCTTAGTTCAGATCCAGGAGCCAAACAAGGACGATTTTCAGAAATCAACAGCTCCCGGCTAATGGGAGCCACACACCCGCTCAGCAACTGCTCAACTCTCCATCACTAGTGCTCTCCATGTGCAGCGTATTCACTACTGTAACACAGTGCATTGAAGCAGAGAAGGCAAATGCGGGACAAAATGATTGAAAAGCCACACAAGTAGCATCCTGGGAGCTGCTGTGTCCATGTTCAACAATTTATACTTAAAAATTCCACTGGAGATTTATTTTCATTACTTTTAAAAGAAAATAAAAGCACACATAAAATGAAGAATGTTACTAACCAAAGGAAGAAACACTAATTCACAAAAGGAAGCGTGAAAGTGTCGAGAGTCATGCCCACCTCGCCTCTCCAGTGTGCTCAGGTGCCACCTGCAGACTCTGTGTCCACTGTCTTCACCTTGTTTATTAATGGCATTTACTACTGTCTCAGTCTGCTCGGGCCACCAGATACTGAGTTGCTTGTAAACAACAGAAATCACCTTCTCACAGATATGGGCTGCAGAGCCCTGGCATGAGAGTGTGGGTCTCATTTCAGATCGTTAAATTGGCAGACTTGAAAACAATTGTGGCTCCTGGGAGCCGCCTGCTCCCCCTGGACAGGGACCCCTTCCTCTGAATCCCTGTAGCCCTTCCGTGCTCGCATCGTCCCCTTTTGCCATTTGAAATAACTAATTGAAGCCAAAGGCAGAGAAACAAGGAAAGTGTTCTTTCGCCTGAAAAAGTATTGAGAAGCACAAAGTCCTTACTCTACAGGCTGTAGGCACAGGGATTCGGTGAACAGACCTTGAACAGAAGTGACCAGGACCCTGGGCCAGACAAGGACCTCAGTACCTGCACCTAGGACCCGAGCCAGACAGGGACCCCCTGTACCTATGTCCAGGACCCTGAGGCAGACAGAGACATTGGTGAGTCTGAGTTTTAATGCCACTTATGGGTCCTGGAGGCAGCCACAGAGGCTCATGGGAAGTGACTTCTGTCTGCCCACAGGGTTCTTGGGGACCTGGGATGATGCTGTTGCAACCGGTAGACTTTTATGAGACCAGTTTCTGGCCTCTTTCAAAATTAACTTTTCAGCTGGGAAGACCCTAAAAGGCACCATTCAGCTCCTTCTCTTATCCCAAATCCCGTCACTCTGGAAGGAGGTGAAGGTCAGGGTGTCCCAGCCCAAACTGCAGGGCCCAGAGGATGAGTCCTAGCAGACCTTGTCCCAATGGTGCAAATCCAGCCCGATGCCTGGCCCAGACATGGCCTGGCACTCCCGGCTATGCTCTTCTTAGTCAGGAACCAGCACTTCTGGGACAGGCTTAAATTTAATATGAGTGCCAGTTGACCTCTTTGTAGCCTTCTTCGTGTGTTCTAAAACTATATTTTGGGGCAATGAATAGTTTAATATCACAAGAATATCGAACCAAAGGAATTCAACTCCCACATCACACAGCCAGGCAAGCTGCACACACATGCAGCCTCATGCTGGATTTCGGGGCCAGATTCACAGTTCCATCCCATAGTGATCAGCCCCAGAAAAGAGGCTCCCACTCTGGTACCTATGCACAGTCTTTATTCCTGCATTCAACAACTGGTTCTATTTCTGCCGGAGATGCTGGGTCTCCAGCAGTTGCTCTTGTTTCCTGCTTTGCATACTGAAGAGCTATCTCACCAGACATCCAACTTAGTAACCCCCCAGGAGTGCAAGTGTGCAGGGCACTGTTAGGGAATTCAAGATGCAGAAATGGGCAGTCTGGTTTAACTACACGCCTTCCTGTGTCTTTGTCTTAGAGGAAGGTAGGAAACCATACAACCCAGACCACAAAGCTCAATCTCTCATTCCATGGTGGAGAAAAGTGTAGGCGTGATAGAGCATTGCTTGCTGTGATTTGGTTTAAACCAGCGCTGTGGCTTGGGTAAGTGACTCCCACAGCCCCTGTGTTGAAGGCTTGGTCACCAGTCAATGCTGCTGTTGGGAAAGGATGACACCTTTAAAAGGTGGGGCCTAATGAAAGCAAGTGAGGTCACAGGGGCAGGCCCACCCTGTGTCCTGGCTGACATAGAGTGGTGACCGATTTCCTCAGCTGACACTCCTTCCCTGGTATGCTGCCCCACCACAGGCCTAAGAGCCACAGAGCCAAGAGACCAACACTGAAGCCTCTGAAACTCTGAGCCAAAATAAACCTTTTCTCCTCCTATGTTAATCACCCCAGGTAGAAAGCTGAGCCACATGGCCATTTATTGTACTCACTCAGAATGATAAGGGGTCAAAGGGTATGGGAAGTATGGTCCAGCAGAAGTTGGTGATGGCACAGAGGGAGAGCAACACCCACATTCCGGGCTCTGTTTGTTCACATGTACCCACTGGAGTCCCTTCACCCCTCTACTGCACACGAGTGCATCCCTCCCCAGGACCTGCTGTCCAGAATTCAGAGGCCAACTCACAGGGGACAGCTGCACCTGTGTCAGTGTGTCAGCTGGGCCTGGTGGGGCCAAAGCTGAACAAGGAGAGTTCAAGGACTGCTGGAGGCTGTGTCAGTTTCCTGTGGGGCATCTGCAAGGATGGAAGGGACAAAGGGGGCAAAGTCACAGAGCAGCAGGATAGGCAGTACCCAGGCTTTTCCTCACCCTGCCAAGTTACCCACCATCTTTCCAGCTTACTCATGTCCTTATGTAAAGTTTCTCACTAGGACTTAGTCCCTTAAGACCAAAAGTGTCCTGATGCACCAAACTCCATGGAGGTGCAGGACTCATGGCCAGCACTGGTCCCAGACAGCATTAAAATCATGCAGCACATTCCACAGAGCATTCCCTGCTGTAGTTTACATTTTTGTGCTTGGGCCAACACTCCTCTGCATTTCCTGTCTTCCACCCACGGAGCCTGGCATCCTGACATCTGGGAGGGCTCAGATACTTTGAATAGCACTTGGATAACAATGTTGGGCTCCTGACTGGAGAAATAAAAATCCTCGTTTTCGGTAGCAAGGTGCAACAAGGCTCTTTGTTGGTTCCCTGGGGTCTTCGCACAGTTAACTTAGTGCATTTTGTGCACACCGGGATGGTCTTTTCCGGCAATTGTCCTCTACCTGTTGTGTCTGCACACGCCTGCGTTGTCAAGCTCACAGTCAAACTTGGGGATAATTCACAGTTCAGTCTCCCATAAGAGTCCACATCTAAGTAGGTCGCGTTGAGTACACAAAACCCTTTGGTGTCTTGTGTTAGTTAATTTTATGTGTAGCAAGTCACACTTTGCACGGCAGAGAGGAAAGTCATAAACTTGAAGATACTCTGAGAACAGAAAAACAGTCCAGAAGATGAATGCTTCCTATGATCCACAATAACTTTGATAGTCAGCCCTGCATCTGTCTACTATTAAGGGAGACTTCAAGCAGATATCTTTGGAGAATTCTCATTTAAAAAAAATACATTGGTTAAAATTTGCTCTGTTCAAGAGAATTGGCTTCAATCCCGTGGAAATTTAACATGTAAATCAAACAAGTGTTTAGCTTGGCTCAAGATTAATTGTCAGACAGTTTCACGCCAAAGGCCCTGACTAAATACCACTGACTGTATGTGAATGAAACCAGTCATTTGTACAAAGGTTCGATGTAAATATTTCTTTCTGTGTCAGCTTCTGTTTTTTCCTCAAAATTCCTGATGATGGCAGAAATTCAGAGAGCCCACAATAGAAGACTTGAGTCATTCATATCCTGATGCTGCTCGTCCACATTACTGCCAACAAGACAAAGGCTTTCAAGTTCCCCCAGAGACGCTGAACATCCACAGAGTGGGAGCATACTGAACACCAGGCATCGGAGTGATGGGGCTGAGTTCCCTGCCCGCAGGCATGGGAAGATCAGAGCTTGTTACTGATCTGGCAACCATACCAA